TGTGCCCAGGAGCTGAGAGCGCTGCTCAGAGAGGAGGTGACAGCCTGGGGACATTGGGGCAGGGAGGGGCTGTGGGGGCGGGGCCTCTGGGGGAGGGACTGTGCTGACCCTGATGACCCCGTGTTGACCCCGCAGTGACCCCTGTGACCCCTGTAACCATCACTGACCCCAATGTGACCCCGTGACCCCTCCCTGACCCCTGTGTGACCCCGTGTGACCTCTGTGTGACCCCATGTTCCAGCTGCACGTGTGGGACGTTGGGGGTCAGAGCTCTCTGTGTGACCCCCGTGTGACCCCGTGTGACCCCGTGTGACCCCAGGTTCCAGCTGCACGTGTGGGACGTGGGCGGTCAGAGCTCTCTGTGTGACCCCTGTGTGATCCCGTGACCCCTGTGTGACCCCATGACCTCTCTGTGACCCCGTGTGACCCCGTGTGACCTCTCTGTGACCCCAGGTTCCAGCTGCACGTGTGGGACGGGGGCGGTCAGAGCTCTCTCCGCTCCTACTGGCGCAATTACTTCGAGAGCACGGACGGGCTGGTCTGGGTGGTGGACAGCAGCGACAGGCAGAGGCTCAAAGTGTGTGCCCAGGAGCTGAGAGCGCTGCTCCGAGAGGAGGTGACAGCCTGGGGACACCCTGGGGACACCCACAGGGACATGGGGACACACACACCCACAGGGACAGGGCACGGGCTGGTCTGGGGGGAACAGCAGCGACAGGCAGAGGCTCAAAGTGTGTGCCCAGGAGCTGAGGGCGCTGCTCCGAGAGGAGGTGACAGCCTGGGGACACCCTGGGGACACCCACAGGGACATGGGGACACACACACCCACAGGGACAGGGCACGGGCTGGTCTGGGGGGAACAGCAGCGACAGGCAGAGGCTCAAAGTGTGTGCCCAGGAGCTCAGGGCGCTCTTTCAACTACCTGACCCCGTGTCCCCCCCTGACCCCAGGCCCTGGAGCTGGACTCCATCCGCAGCCACCGCTGGCGCCTCCAGGGCTGCTCGGCCTTCACCGGCCGCGACCTCCTGCCCGGCCTGGACTGGCTGCTGGACGACCTGGGGGCGCGCCTGTGCCCCCCCGACTGACCACTGAGTGACCCCGAGTGACCACTGACCCCTGGAGTGACCCTGAGTGACCACTGACCACCAGAGTGACCCTGAGTGACCACCAGACTGACCAGAGTGACCCCAAGTGACCACTGACCCCTGGAGTGACCACAGTGACCCTGAGTGACCCTGAGTGACCACTGACCACCAGAGTGACCACAGTGACCCCACACTGACCCTGAGTGACCCACAAAGTGACCACAGTGACCCCCAGACTGACCACTGACCCCCGGAGTGACCACTGACCACCAGAGTGACCCCAGACTGACCCCTGGAGTGACCCCTCTGCCCCCAGACTGACCAGAGTGACCCAGAGTGACCCCACAATGACCCCTGAGTGACCCCCAGACCGACCCCAGCCCGGGACCCCCGGAGCCCCTCGGGCAGTGGGGGGGGACCAGAGTGACCCCAGACTGACCCCTGGAGTGACCCCTCTGCCCCCAGACTGACCAGAGTGACCCAGAGTGACCCCACAATGACCCCTGAGTGACCCCCAGACCGACCCCAGCCCGGGACCCCCGGAGCCCCTCGGGCAGTGGGGGGGGGG